TTCTCTCTCCTCTGCACAAATCTCAACCACACAGTTTTTACTTTATTATTCTCCGTGCCGGTCAACTTTGGCAAAGTTTTAAGGGACGGAGGTAGTATATGATATATGGTATAGTATTACACATTGATGATTAAGTATTTCGATTGTCAATGTCTTATTCATAATTGTGTTTTCTTGAACTTATGTTGTCAATATGTAAGTGGAAGCTTATATGACATAACATAAGGTCTTAAAATAGCCTCAATCAATGATTATAAAGAAATAGATATTGATGATATACGATAAGATTGGTATGTAGTCTGCATCATACTTTTAGAAAGTAAAGTTAATCTCACAACTATGAGTTCCTCTAATTCATGATGGTCACATAGATATTTTAGAGAATATTTGCATACCCACCGAAAAATCATTTGATAAGTTCTATTCATGTGTTTATGGAATTATCGGCGTATAGTTCTATTTTAGAGTATTGTAATAGTCCTCCGACTTGAGGTCAATACATACTACATGTGCGAAGTGATGTACTTTGATCGTGACCAACGCTCGCACTCCAATCGAGGTAGATACGACATGTACTGGGTACATCATGAAGCACATGGAGTAGTAGTTGAGCCAAAACACGATTCATTCCTCGTAATAGATTAAAAGAGAACATTTTACTTCTCATATCTAGATGAATCATAAAGTCATTGGCCAATGCAAAGATATATTCTGTTTGGATACCGAATATGATCGTTATGGATTATCTAGAAAGATTAAGAGATAGTGACTAAGTTATTGGAATAGACACAATATCAAGTTTCTAGATTTAGTTGAATATTCGTTGAATGGAAGGACCGTATAACTATGAGCTCTATATTACAGGGAATTTGAATAGTCCTCGCAAACGCTCTTATATATAGTATTAAGTTTGTCTGGAGAATCGTCTAGAGACTCGCTAAGACCTTGATTTGATTAGTGCTTAATATATAAGGCCATATGGGTCACAAAACAAGTGATTATACCTTCCGATTGAATTGTAGAAGGAATTAAATAATAATTGAATTAAATAATATTTAATTCAATTATTATTTAAAATGGATTAAATATTAAACGTATTTAATTCATGATGTTTAGGGAGAGTTCTATTTGATAGAATTAATTAACTGTGATAAATTAGATATATTTTTCTTAATTAAGATTTTTTTTATAATTAAATAAAGTTGGTATTTTTTTATGATTTAGAATTAAAAGGAAAATAAGAATATATAAATAATTGTGTGGAGAGGAAGGAAGTGGGTTGAGCCATCTTCACCTTTTCAGTATTATCAGTTTATTTTCAAGCGAAGAGATTTTCTAGCCTTTCTCTTTAGAACATCTAATCGTTCTTTCAGAAATGTGAAATCACGTGAATACCTAAGGTCAATGATTATCACTACTAGACTGGAAGATCTGTAAGTTCTAACTCAGATATGTTATTATTGTTATATTCGTTGTTTTGTCATAATCAAGGAAGATCTGTTTATGAAAAATTATAAATTTTCAATGTTGTACTTTCGAAGTACGTTACATCAATTTCTTAAAAGTGTTATATGTTTTGCCCGATCTTAATTTCGAAGTACATTACTCGGATTTGGGATGAAATTTTTCGTCGGTACTATGTTTTCAGAAAATATGTTTTGCCTGATCTTAATTTTCAAAATTTGATTTGTCAAGATCTAATTTTAGAAATTAAAACCGTTGTTTGCAATTTGGAGTTTCATCTTTATAAATCGATCTGAAAATCGCATAACAACACAGATGAAAGAATAAGTTTTTTTTTACTTTGTTTCGTCTCTCGATGTGCTCGCGTTTATCGCGATTCTTTTTGGTGATCGGGTAAAGAAAGTCCAGGACTTCTTCAACAACCTAGAGTTCGGCGAAATCCACTACAGCAAAAGTTTCGGTGACAGTTGCTCTGAGGCAATTTCTTTCGACGATTTTACCGACGATGATCGGCGTTGTTTTTCCCTCCATAGCCGATTGCTGAATAAGCTTTTACGGTGTCCAGCGTTTTTCATCATCATCGGTGATTTGGGGGGGGGGGCTTGGGGCTGTATTAGAAATTTGATGACGTGGAGTATTTGATTTTTCATTTTTTTTACTCTAGGGGCATTTGAGCAGAAGGTTTGGGGGGCTAGAGAGTGAGTCGACAATCAGTTGAGCTTTAATGCTTCCTCATATTTATTTTTTCATTATAAAACCAAAATGCAATGAAGTATGAAGTATGAACTGTATTTGGGATTGCGAATTAGATTAATTACATGGACCTTTTCGCAATTCCTGAAAAATCCTAAGTTATTCACAAGCCAGAGTAAACGCGACCCATTCAGGTGACGGGGTCATAGAAAAAGTACATTAATTTTAATATGTGTGAAGTCAAATTGTAAAGTTTAATAAGGACCGAAGGGAGTAGTTTATTTTTTGATCCTATTTGTACAAACTGACCGATTTTAGTCCTATTTTGATAATTAACTCAATATGAAATTAGAGTCTGCATATTTATATCCCGTTTGACAACCTTATTTTTCGGGGTATTAGGCTTATCAGATACTTTTCACCAAACACGTAACTTTTAATTTCGTGTGCTGAATTGTGTAATAATAAAAAAAAAACGTAAGATTGAAGTTAATTCTCTTATTTAGACACTAATGCAGTATCAAACAAGCTCTTTAATATTACGAGTATGAGTTTCTCATGTTTGAATCTTCGGTTTGGTAAATTAAACCAACTATTAAGAAAAATGCTTCATGGTGTACACCTTTCATATATTCATCTATGTCACGCACATTGAGTTGTCTATCTACAACTCTGTGTGCGTGAAAAGACTAAAATGTGTACACCAAAATGTATACACCAAACAATTGAAGTACTCCTCGTCCCTTATAACTTTGCTATCTTTTCTTTTTTGAATGTCTCAAACACTTTGTCACTTTCTCTTTTAAACAATGAATTTGTGGTTCCTGTCATTTCCCTTTTTTATGCACATATTCCAATCACACAATTTTTACTTTATTATTTCTCATGTCGGTCAAACATAACACAGTATTGAGGGAGGGAGGGAGTATTAATTAAACAACACCAAACCCGTCTTTGATTCGCTGGCACTACCCAGCAACAAACCTCACAAGACCCACACCGACAAAATCCACGCTCTTCATACTTCGCTACTCGCTAGCTCTTTGCACTCTTTTGTTTTTGCACATGGTGCAGTAATTGACTAGTACACTTTTGCAGAAATAACTAATAAGTGAGTGACAATTGTTCGGAAGTGAAATGGTGTCATCATGAAACAAGTATAATCGAACATAAAATTGAAATAAAGTTTCTCCACAAAATTCTTCATGATAAGGAAGTGATTCCGGAGAAAGACGAGTTTTACCAATGTTTAGGCACTCTATAAAAAACAGACAACAAACATGACAAGATGAATCTAGCCGGGACACCACCACAACTTCCCACATCTAGAGAGACAAACCACTCCGAAGCACCAATGCTCGAGAAATAACCGTCATAAAACAAAATCAACACTACTAGAAAAGAAGAACAATCCAATTAGCTCATACCTCTATTAAGAATCTCTGAGGGTTAATGTCACTATTAAATACCTCCTCCGTCCCTAAATAAAAGTATTTGTTTCCTTTTCGGACCGTCCCTAAATAAAAGTTCTCTTTCCTTTTTTGGAAAACAAAACAGTGCAAAACATTGCCAAACAGTGCCAAACAGTGCCAAACAGTACCAACCAAACCCACTTTCTTAAGATGTGTGTAAAATGAATAAATACTTTTATATAGGGACGGAGGTAGTAGTTTGGATCACTGCATCAAGTTGACCTAATTAGGCCTTCTGATTTGGAGACAAGTTTGGTCTTCGTCCTTCAATTTGATGTCATTATAATTTAAAAAAGAGCTTTTCCAACCGTTAAGTTTTACTACTCAGTTTTTTTTTTTCTTGTGACAGTGTGGGAATGATACCTTTGCTAATTGTTTTTAAAAAATTTGATAGTCTTTCGATATTAATAAAAGTGACGATCCTTCAACTATTATAATAGTGACATGTATAGTTCTTCACTAATTGTGTCAAACTAATAACGAAGAAATGAAAATAGTCAATTGATAATACTTTAGGGGATTAAATGTAAGAAACTTTGAAGTCGATGACTAAAAGTATCTCTCACACAATAGTAAAGGACTGAAAAAAGGAAAAAATTAAAAGTCAAGCACCAAAATGTCACCGACACAATAGTCGGTAAACTGAAAGTGGCAAAACTCTTTAAAAAATAATTTGCAAAAATTTGATATTGGTGAATACACTACAAAAAAATTCGCCTGTAGTCACGGACTTAGTCACGGACCGTAGTGTAAAAAATCCGTGACTAACACATTTAGTCACGGATTTTGTCCGTGACTAGTTCCGTGACTAATTCCGCGTGACTAGAACGTAGTCACGGAACATTGACCGTGACTAAGTGTAGTCACGGATTAGTCACGGAACTCGATCCGTGACTACATCTTGACCGGAATTAGCCCTCCGGCGCGTTAGTCACGGACCAGATCCGTGACTACTTTTAATTTAATTTTTTTTTATGTTAGTCACGGACAAGCTCCGTGACTAAGTTTAATTTAAATTTTTTTATTTTTTGTGGTAGTCACGGACGTGTCCGTGACTAACGTTTTTTAAAAAGCCCGCAATTAGTCACGGACGTGTATCCGTGACTATGTTTAATTTAAAAAAAATTGAATTTATTCCGGATTAAAACGTAGTCACGGATTTAGTCCGTGACTAATGTTTTTTGTTTTAAAAAAATCGCTTTTAAATAAAAAAATAAAAAAATGAAAATTGAATTTATTCCGGATTAAAACGTAGTCACGGATTTAGTCTGTGACTAATGTTTTTTTATTTAAAAAAAATCGATTTTAAATAAAAAAATAAAAAATTATTTTAATTTTACTTTAAAGCAGTTAGAATAAAAACAAATTCCATACAATCTTAAACATAAAAAATGTTATTACAGACTGAATTATAAAAACAAAATCCATACAATGTTAAACAATATTATGTAATTACATGCCCGTACGTCGGACTCCATTATGATAAAAATTAGATTCATCATAATCATATGCGTCATCATTATCATCATAGTCACGATGATGATCCTCTTCTGCATCCACGGTGTCCAAGGGTCGGGTACCTCCTCGGCTGCCTCGGCTGCCTCGGCTGCCTCCTCTGTTGCCTCCTCGGTTGCTTCCTCGGCTGCCTCCTCGGTTGCCTTCACCGGATGACTGAAACTGATTGAGCATATCAGACGACAGAGATCCGAATGTCGACCCCATTGCAGGCATGGCACCATAACCGGAGTTAGAGTGATAACCCATATTACCCATGTGCGGAACCTGAGGAGTCTGCTCAACGTGCAACATGTACGGCCGAGGAAGAGGCTAAGGCGGAGGCTGATATCCGGCAAGGATCCGTTCCATTGCATCCAGCCGGGCCCTTGTTTCTTCATCATTCTTTCGTTGCTGTTCAAATGTCCGCTGCTGCTCCTCCAATTCTCGCTGCAATTGGGCAATGCGTGGATCCTCTCCTCGCCTAGATCGAGAAGATGATGAAGCTCCGCTGCCGCTGCGATCGTACAAAATATGTTGCCCCTCAGCCCCGAGGCACGGAAGCCGACCCTTGCACACCCCAGCTGCCTCAAGGATCGCATCATCTTCCACATCAGAATCGATGTCATCTTCTTGAGTCAAGCCTAGTTCCACCCGCTTCTTTTCAACATTTGCGTTATTCTTTGTCTACAAACATTTACAAAAATTATTCAAATGATATTTACTTCGATTTGAAATAATAATATTGATGTTACATACTTCGATTTCAGCAAGGCGGGGGTGGGGGTGGTAGATTGGCTTCCGACTCATCATCGTTCTTCGTCCAACAATGTTTGATGACCTTGAGGATAGAGACCCTCTTCTTTTGAGGCCCCGCCTACAAGGTTCGAAAAAGGTTTAAATAAATGTAAAAAAATAAAGAGTTAAAATGGTGTAAGGTTTATTTGAATAAGACTTACAAGAGCTTCATTATGTTTACTCTGAGGTTTGCGGCCTCCGTGCCATTGTGTCGTCAATGCCTTCTCAGACATCCAATTTTTCTTCCCGGCTTCGCTTCTAGCCAAGAAAGTCAGATCCGAAGACCAAGGTATATATATATTAATTAATATATAATTAATGTGTCGTCAATTATATATATATTAATTAATATATATAATTAATGTGTGTGTATGTATATATACCTGATGCTTGTACCACGGTATAAAATGAGAGTCCACCTATGCATCAATTTCATTGTGAGGGAATGCTGAATTGTTGGGTCGTAGGCCGCGGGTAGGCGGTGCCAGCAATCTGCCAGCCTACCGGTGTAAAGGAGTAAAGAAACGTGGCACTTCGCTTGTGCTATAAAGGGAAAGAAACGTGCTACACTATCAGCAATTGCTTTTAGTGTAGCGGTAAGCGCAACGATCCACAAGTGGTATCAGAGCCAAGGTCACGGGTTCGACCCCCGGCGACAGCATGCTGCGCAGCTAAAGGCTGGCAGGTGCTGGAGGGAGATTGTTGGGTCGTAGGCTGCGGGTAGGCGCTGCCAGCAATCTGCCAGCCTGCCGGTGTAAAGGAGTAAAGAAACGTGGCACTTCGCTTGTGCTATAAAGGGAAAGAAGCGTGCTACACTATCAGCAATTGCTTTTAGTGTAGCGGTAAGCGCAACGATCCACATGAGTACTCCGCTCTAAATTCACTGTGAAGTCAAACATGAACATATTATAAATCAACTACCTTAATTGTATATATATATTACAAAGATAACTACAAATTTAACTTACTGATAAAACAGTAAGTTTTCTGGACAATTAATGAGCATATAAGTATGCGCAATTTGTAATTCTTTTCCCACGATGTATCGGTTTGTCCAAGCTCCTTTACCTCTACCTGGGTAATTGAAAATGGAAACTACATTTTCATATAAATCCTCGCCGTGTGCCTTGTTGGAGATATGCTTGACAAATAGAAGCCTCAACGTGTGCCTTGTTGGTCATTTTCTTTTTCAACTCTCCAAGAAATCTGCAAAGTAAAATAAAAGTGGTACACAGATTAATGTTGTTATGAAATAAATATTCAAAGATAAATGAAATTGTGACTAACCTTTCAAATCTGTACATCCAACGATAGAAGACGGGTCCACCATTTAAAGCCTCATACGGAAGATGTATTACAAGATGTTCCATTCCATCGCAAAATGATGGAGGCATTATTTTTTCCAAATTACACATCAGCATGGGAACAGACTCTTCTAGTCTACGGAAGGATGCTGCATCCAAAACACTTGAGCATATCGATTGAAACAACAAACTGTATTCAGCTTTTATGTTCATAAACTCTGTAACGGTGGATAGCTGAGAGTATCCCTCACAATCAGCATACAGGGGTTGATCAGCTGCTTTTAAAATATCTTGAAATCTTTCAGCTAAACCTTCATCCACATAAGGTTCATAAAATATCGGATTTTCATCCTCATGTGGTTGATACGAGGTCGAAGCTTCCGGAGGATCGTTAGATGGTTGTGGGGGGTTGAACTGAGACATCGATGCACCGTATGCGTCATATACCATACGTTGTTCCCATCTCATTTCAGCAGTGTCTCCCCACGCACTCATCTCTGCAGGGACGTTACGAGACGAACCTACCGTTTGTGATAAAACAGATGGATCCAAAGGTTCGCCATGAGAATTCCAATTATAATAATTGGGAAGGAAACCGTCCGCGTACAAATCCCACCCAACTTCGTCTGGGTGTTTAAATTTGAGATTTTTACACTTTGAACATGGACATCTGATTTTATCACCACTCATATAAGCCGGGTGTTCAAGTGCGAATTTATTAACTCCTCAACTCCTTCAAGAAAATTTGATTGCATTCCGTACAATACCGCATGTTTATCATACATCCAAATTTTATTTTGTCTATACATTATGCCTGAATATTATAATAAAAATATTATACAGGTTAAAAACTCTAAATTATAAACATTATCAACATATGTGGAGTATTATTAATATATTAAATTTCACTAAATTTCACTAAAATTCTCTTTAAATTAACTAATTCCCTAAAATTAACTAATTCCCGGCCTTAAAATTAACTAATTCCCTTAAATTTCACTAAAATTCACTAAAATTCCCTTAAAATTAACTAATTCCCTAAAATTAACTAATTCCCTTAAATTTCACTAAATTTCACTAAAATTTCCTTAAAATTAACTAATTCCCTAAAATTCCCTTAAAATTAACTAATTCCCTTAAAATTAACTAATTTCCTTAAATTTCAATAAATTTCACTAAAATTCCCTTAAAATTAACTAATTCCCTAAAATTCCCTTAAAATTAACTAATTCCCTTAAAATTAACTAGTTTCCTTAAATTTCACTAAAATTCACTAAAATTCACTTAAAATTAACTAATTCCCTAAAATTCCCTTAAAATTAACTAGTTTCCTTAAATTTCACTAAAATTCACTAAAATTCACTTAAAATTAACTAATTCCCTAAAATTCCCTTAAAATTAACTAATTCCCTTAAAATTAACTGATTGGCTAAAATTTCACTAAAATTCACTAAAATTCACTAAAATTCCCTTAAAATTAACTAACGGCCAATAATTAATATTATTAAACTATAAACATGCACAATACGTTAATGGCATTAATTTAATCCACAATACTAAAATTATCAACATCTTAATCTTATATATTAATAATGCACATTTAACAGTTTACTAAATTAAATAATATGAGCAAATCCAATAATTTGAGCATATATATATAATAAACACATTTAAATTAAATTAACTAACCCTAATTTAAATCATTATTAATCCTAAATTAGGCCTCCTTAATTAACAATAATTGCCAATATAAAGAAATCATATACTTATATTTAATCATATATATATATAATCATTTGAATTAAATAATACTTACATTTAACTAATATTAATAATATGCATTTAAATTATATTTAATCATATATACTTACATATGTATTTAACTAATTTACGTAATTTTAACCCTATATTTTAAAATTAATAACATATGTATTGCCAATATTATATTTAATAATATACTTTCATATATATATGTATTTAACTAATTTACATATTTAACTAATTTACGTAATTTTAATTAATGAAATACAACTTAATTAACCCAATATGTTTAAATTACACCTACGTTTAACGTAACTAAATTTAAGGAATTTATTTTGTTAATTAATTAAGTATTAATTTAACTAATGCAGTAGCTAAAATGAACCAACTAATTCATACAAAAAATACGTAATTCGAATTACATACCTTATCTGCATAAACAAGAAAAATGATATGAGATGGGTAGATTACATTCTTCAATTCTATCTGGAGTAGATGGTGTGATTTTGTTGAATGAAGCGGAGGCTGAATATATAAAACTTATAGTCACGGACGTAGTCACGGATGTGTCCGTGACTGCACATTTTTGGTACGATTTGTCAGAGCACTTTAAATTTGGAACGTTCAAAAAATCAATTTTGCACTTGTCACGGAATTAGTCACGGATACATCCGTGACTAATTTCAAATTTAAAAAAAAATCCCGCCGGAGGCGAAATTGGGTTGGCCGGAACACTTTAGTCACGGACTACATCCGTGACTAACTATAGTCACGGACGTAGTCACGGCCAAATCCGTGACTATTTTTTTAAACGTTCCGTGACTAAACCGTGATTAGAACCGTGACTAACTAGTCACGGACCAAATCTGTGACTACGGTCCGTGACTACAAGCGATTTTTTTTGTAGTGATAAGGAAAGTGTAAAGATGAATTATGCAAGTGAAGGTCCAACTAACTTTAATAGAAGAAAATATCCTAAATAGAAGTAAAATTAATACACTCTTTTGAATTACAAACACCACATTTTAAATGCAAGTGAATAGGAGTATTTATTACCAACAAACTTTGAAAATCAATGTCATAATTGTGGTAATATTGTCTGTTATGCTTGGACAAAAATGTCAATTATTATTACCCTGGACAAAAAATAGACTTTACTATTACCCCTATATTATCTTTTCTTTTTCATGGCAAAGAATTTGGGATTCACATTATTTTTATATAATTTTAAACATTTCTCGTTGCACTATATATACATGCGCCGGACTTAGGGGGGAAAGAGGGGTGACCTCCCTCGTTGGACTTTCAAAATTTTCTACGTGATATTATCAGGAGTTATGCTGGTGGTTGGTATTACTAGCCACCAACAAGGGAGGAATTAAAAAAACCTGCAATTAAAATTACATGTATTTTTCAATAAAAAGGCAGGAATTAAAAACAAAATTCTGCATTACGAACTAAATTAAATAAAAAACATAGTCATAAGAACTAATTTAATAGAATGATATTAAATGCAAATTAAAAATATTATTGTCATAGATTTTTTAAATTATCGGGACTTGGAGGGTTCTCTTCAGGGCTGTTAATAAATCGATTAATATCCTTGGTATTAGACTAGAGCTTGATATATCCAGGCTGGCCGCCACCTCGACTACGGGGTGGAGACTCTGGTTGAGGTGGAGGACTGGAGGTGTGAAGAATTGCTAACTAGATTGAAAGTATGGTGGAGGAAAATAAGGCATCGAGAGCTGCATTCTGCTGGACTGACTTCCGTCGGGCTGTATTCAACCGTAGTAATCTTGGGGAGGTGTAGAAGGCTGCCACGTGGCAAAAAATGATTGCATTTGCCTCTTCATTGCTTCCCGCTTTTCAACCTCCCTATCCAATCATTCCTAAAGTTTGTCCACCCGCTCTTTACTCGCCAAAGATTTGGAAGATGAACCACCTCCTCGAGTATTCTTAATAATATGCTTGGCCATACCCATGACCCGGCTTTTGTTCGGATCACCAGCCGCTTGCATGTAGATGTCATCATCATTATCAATGGTAATGTCGGCCTCTTCAATACCACTGGCTCCAAGTTCGGCTTTTATTAATTATATAGTTCTTAATATATTTAGATTGGCAATTCATACTTCAATTTCGGAAATGCGAGGAGGTTTGTCCCCAGACTTCAGATTTTATGTTCATCAATTCCGAAACGGCAGATAGCTAAGAGTGACTCTCACATTTGCCATAAAGAAATTGATCTATAGCTTTTAAGACATCTTGAAACCTCTCTCCTATATCATCAATATATATATGAGGAATATGAGAGCTCGGAGTTTCATAAGTTTGAGGGACATAATAGTTTGTGCCTTCATAATTCACAACTTCAGGAGGATTGTTAAGTGGTTGGGGCGGATTAAATTGTGAAGTTGAAGCACCGTATATATCATATACAATTCTATAATCCCACGACGTGTGATCATAATCTCCCCACCCACTCATCTAGTTGGGAACGTTACAAGATGAACCAACAGTTTGTGGCAAAAATGACGGATCAAAAGGTTTGCAATGAGAAGCCTAATTATAATAATTGTCAACAAAACCTCCCGTGTACAAATGTCACCATACTTGGTCACTGTCTAGAAATTTCATGTTCTTACACGTTCTACACGGACATCTTATTTTATCATCATCCGTATAATTAGTTTGTAAAAATGCTCATTTAAGAAACTCTGAAACTCCACCAAGGAATTCTTGTCGATATCATCTATTTTCATTATGTCTATCATACATCCAATTTTTATTTTCTCTATACATTAACTTGAATATTATTATTACCGTACTATATCGGTTAAAAATCAAAATAATAACCATTAACAATAACTAGTAAAATTTAATGTATATTTCAAAACCAATTTCAAATATATCCACAATAACAATTCAATAATATTTTTAATGTATTAATATACAAACAATTCCAATTAACTAACATTGAATATTCACAATAATAATTTACTAATATTTCCTTTTTAAAGAACTGATAATTCAATTAAATTAATATTGTGAGCTAAAATCCTAAACATAATGCAATTAAATTAAAAATGAATATTCATAATAATTCACTATAATTCAATAATAAAATTTATAAGAACAGTTTTAATTCAGTCATCTGTTTATAAACTATTTTTATAAACTAACAATGTAATTAAATTATATTATTAGTTAAATCTTTAAGATGCATTACATGTATACACAATAAATCACTACTTTTTTATTTTTAATTAACTAATAATTCAATTAAATTAATATTGTGAGCTAAAATCCTAAATAGAAGACAATTATATTAATAATATATTTACAATTTAAATATATTTGAAAATGAATTTTAAATATATGCACAATAAATCACTAATATTTCTTTTTTTATTCAATTAATTTAATATTGTGAGCTAAAATCCTAAATAGAAGGCAACGAAATTAACAATATATTTCCAATTTAAATATATTTAAAAATGAATTTTAAATATAAGCACAAATTCGCTAATATTAGTTAAAAATATAAGAGGCATTAATTAAAACGTATGTGCAATAATTCACTAATATTAACTTTGTAATTAACTAATGATTCAACTAAATTATTACTATGAATTCGAATCCTAGACATTAACAATAATTTCTAAAATTTAAATATAATTCTAAACGAATTTCAAATATACTCACAATAAATTATAGCTTGACTAACATTTTTAAATTAATTAACAACTACACTAACATTTTTAAGGAATTACAGAGTAATAACAACGTAAATAAATTCATATGTAACAAAAATAGTAAATGGATATATTAATTCAAATGACATACCTTATTTGAGATTCACATTGAATCGAATAATAACATCTAATTACATCATCGAAATTCTCTACAGACAGTCACTATAGTATACTGTGATGAAGAATAGAATGAATTGGTTCATGTATATGTAGAAAAATGATACTCCCTCTGTCCCGAAATTATCTTCATTCTTTCCTTTTCGGTCTGTTCCAAATTTATCTCCTCTTTCCCTTTTTGGTAAAGAATATGTGGTTCACAACCATTCTTACACATTTCTCTCTCCTCTGCACAACTCTCCACCACACAAATCCCACTATCTTAATCCCCGTACCCAGTCAAAACCGAAGTTAATTATGGGACGGAGGGAGTATGTGTCAGGGATTTTGTATCAGAATTTTCCTTGACAAACATTTATGTTACAACTGTCTAGGGCGGGACTGGTAGGAAGAATATTTATTTTGCCTTGTCATAGATTTTGTAACGGATTGGTTCGTGACAAAACGAATATGTACAACAGGGTCAAATAATCGACGAAATCAACAGTAAAAATCCATAATACAAATTTTAAAAAAATTATGGATGCCTTTCCCACCACCTGTATTGCCTCGCTGCACCACCACCTCCGGTCGATGTAAAAAATGCTATTTTTTATGAAAATGTCAAAAATGACATATTACTCTTTGAGAATGCCAAAATTTTTATTGAACCTATCATAAATATGACATTCCTAATGCATGTGGTATTTTTTTCCCCCGGTGATCGGAGGTGGTGGTGCTGGGGCGGCAGAGGCGGCGATAATTGTTTTTTGCGTTTTAAATTTTTTAATTATTATTTTTTATAATTTTATTAATTTTGTAGTATTTTTTAGGAATTTTTATTATTTTTGATTATTTTATTATGAATTAAAACATTTCAATAGCCAGAATGGTATATTCGTCCAACACACACATAATTAATCCTAGGGAAAATCACACTTTTCGTCCTTGAAATAGTCGCCATATTGAAATGTCAGACCCGTATTTCGAAAGTTGTAATTGTCACCCCTTAATTGTCCAAATTGTCACCCCTCTAATTGTCTAAATTGTCCTATGAAACATAGTTTATTTTTTGATCCTATTTGTACAAACTGACCGGTTTTAGTCCTATTTTGATAATTAACCGAATATGAAATTAGAGTCTGCATATTTATATCCCGTTTGACAACCTTGTTTTTGGGGGTATTAGACTTATCAACTATTTTTCACCAAACACGTAACTTTTAATTTCGTGTGCTCAATTGTGTAATAATAAAAAAAACGTAAGATTGAAGTTACTTTTCTGATTTAGACACTAATGCACTATCAAACAAGCTCTTTAATATTACGAGTATGAGTTTCTGATGTTTGAATCTTGGGTTTGTTAAATTAAACTAGGGATGGATTCGGGCCGGGTCGGGCCCGGGCCGGGCCTAGGCCCGGTCGGGCCGCCGGTTCAAGAATAGTGGGCCCGGGACCGGCCCGAGGGTTGGACGGATCCGGTTCGGGCCGGGCCACCCGCCCGGGTCACGGGTCGGGTCCGGTTCGGGCCGGGCCGGTTAATTTTTTTTTTATAATTTATATTTTATAGTTTATAGTTTTATACGAGTATTAAAAACAAACTTCAATTGCATTTATTTGAAATGAAATAGGAACTACATTTGAAAATTAAAACAAACTTTAAGAGATAAACATTTTGAAAAATGTAATCAATCGGAACTTCCCGCACCTCCCGATCCTTTGGCTTTGTCACATGACTTCATATGATTGATTGCCATCCCGAATCCGCCTGAAGCCCCCATGTTACATTTTTTCTCGCACCATTTGCAAATTGCGTACCACATCCCGGTCTTCGGGTCCTTCTGCTTATCAAAATTATACCGTATAATGACATCTTGATTTTCCATCTTAACTTCTTAAGTATAAACTATAAAGTAGATATATAAATAATAAATATAATATATTGGAGAATAAGAGAATTAGAGAGTAGAGAGTTAAGAATAGGATTTAGGAAGAATTGGAGAAGAGATATGAAAAAATGTTTAAGATTAGGAGTATTTATAGGTTTTTTTGCCCCCCCCCCCCCCACCCCCCTCACCAGCCAACCCCCCCGGACCCCCCCTTTACCCCACCCAACGGCTATATAGCCGTTTGGGTTGTCCCCAGCCCCACCCCCAAGGCCCCAACGGCTAGTAGCCAAACCAAACAAAAAAAAAGTTTTTTTTTAAAATAGACCCGGACCCGGGCCCGGGCCCGACCCGGCCGGGCCGAGTCACAAAAATCCAGAACCGAGCCCGCCCCCCGCCCCTTCCCATCGGTTCGGGTCCATACCCGGTCCCGGACCGCCCGACCGGGCCGGTTCCGGGCCCGCACAGTACCGGGCCGGGCCGGGTCACGGGCCGGGTGGCCCGAACCGAATCCAACCCTAAATTAAACCAACTATTAAGAAAAATGCTTCATGTACACTTTTTGGTGTACACCTTTCGTATATTCATCTATGTCACGCACACTGAGTTGTCTATCCACAACTCTGTGTGCGTGAAAAGACGAGTGTACGAAAGATGTACACCAAAATGTGTACACCAAACAATTCAAGTACTCCCCGTCCCTTTTAACTTTGCTATCTTTCCTTTTTGGATGTCCAAAAAACTTTGTCATTTTCCCTTTTAATCAATGAATTTGTGATTTCTGTCATTTCTCTCTCTTATACACATATCCCAATCACACAATTTTTATTTTATTATTTCTCGGTCAAACATGATAAAGTATCGAGGGAGTATTAATTAAACAACACCAAACCGGTCTTTGATTCGCTGGCACTACCCAGCAACGAACCTCACAAGACCCACACCGACAAAATCCACGCTCTTCATACTTCGCTATTCGTTAGCTCTTTGCACTCTTTTGTTTTTGCACATGGTGCGGTAATTGACTAGTACACTTTTCCAGAAATAACTAATAAGTGAGTGACAAGTGTTCGGAAGTGAAATGTCATCATGGAAACAAGTACCACCTACCGATGGAACATAAAATTGAAATAAAGTCTCTTTACAAAATTCTCAACTCTAGAAAAAGCAGACAAAAACACCTGACAAGACGAATCTAGTCGGGACACCAGCAGAACTTCCCACATCGAGAGAAAGACCACTCCGAAGCACCAATCCTCTAGAAAGAACTGTCATAAAACAAAATCAACACTACCAGATAAGAAGAACAATCCAATTAGCTCATACATCTATTAAAAATCTCTAGTGTTAATGTCACTATTAAATAGTTTGACCTAATTAGGCCTTCTTATTTGGAGAAAAATTTGGTCTTCGTCCTTCAATTTGGTGTCATTATAATTTAAAAAAGAGCTTTTGCAACCGTTAAGTTTTACTACTCAATTTTTTTATCTTCTGATAGTGTGGGAATGATACCTTTGCTAATTGTTTTTAAAAAATTTGAGTCTTTCGATATTTATAGAAGTGACGATCCTTCAACTATTATAATAGTGATATTTATAGTTCTTCACTAATTGTGTCAAACTAATAACGAAAAAATGAAAATAGTCAATTGATAATACTTAGGGAACTAAATATAAGAAACTTTGAAGTCGATGACTAAAAGTATCTCTCACATAATAGTAAAGGACTGAAAAAAGGAAAATTAAACTATAATTCAATCACACTATAATTAAATAATACTCCCTCCGTCCCATTGGACTTTGCCATCTTTCCTTTTTTGATTGTCCCAAAAAAATTTGCCACTTTCCCATTAAAGTAACTATTTTGTGGTTCTACTCATTTCTCTCTCCTCTGCACAAACTTCAACCACACAATTTTTACTATTCTTATTTCTCACCTAACTTAAGTAGTGCAAAGTCCATTGGGACGGAGGTAATAAAATTTATAAGAACAGTTTTAATTCAGTCATCTGTTTATAAACTATTTTTATTAACTAACAATGTAATTAAATTATATTATTAGTTAAATCTTTTAGATGCATTACATGTATACACAATAAATCACTACTTTTTTATTTTTAATTAAAAAAAAATTCAATTAAATTAATATTGTGAGCTAAAATCCTAAATATAAGACAATTAAATTAATAATATATTTACAATTTAAATATATTTGAAAACGAATTTTAAATATATGCACAATAAATCACTAATATTTCTTTTTTTATTCAATTAATTTAATATTGTGAGCTAAAATCCTAAATAGAAGGCAACGAAATTAACAATATATTTCCAATTTAAATATATTTTAAAATGATTTTTAAATATAAGCACAAATGTGCTAATATTAGTTAAAAATATAAGAGGCATTAATTAAAACGTATGTGCAATAATTCACTAATATTAACTTTGTATTTAACTAATGATTCAACTAAATTATTACTATGAATTCGAATCCTAGACATTAAAAATAATTTCTTAAATTTAAATATAATTCTAAACGAATTTCAAATATATTCACAATAAATTATAGCTTGACTAACATTTTTAAATTAATTAATAACTACACTAACATTTTTAAGGAATTACGGAGTAATAACAATGTAAATAAATTCATATGTAACAAAAATAGTAAATGGATATATTAATTCAAATGACATACCTTATTTGTGATTCAAATTGAATCGAATAATAACATCTAATTACATCATCGAAATTCTCTACAGACAGTCACTATAGTATACTGTGATGAAGAATAGAATGAATTGGTTCATGTATATGTAGAAAAATGATATGTGTCAGGGATTTTATATCAGAATTTTCCTTGACAAACATTTATGTTACAACTGTCTAGGGCGGGAGTGGTAGGAAGAATATTTATTTTGCCTTGTCATAGACTTTGTAACGGATTGGTTCGTGACAAAACGAATATGTACAACAGGGTCAAATAATCGACGAAATCAACTTTAATTTGTCACGGACAAATCCGTGACAAAGGTAATGGCTGAAAATTTCATACACGGACCTAATCCTATCACACCTCAGCATACATAACTTACAACAGTGAGTATCGAAAAATTAAAAACGTCATTTGAAATCGTTAATGTGCTCAAATCCTCAATTTGTCTATGCTCATTTAATTAATTTCGTTTAAGCGTTATGCTCGTTTGAGATGTGAGAACGATGCAACAAGGGTTGGATTGATTTGTCAGATCAATATCACCGGAATCTAGTCTATACAGAGCATTAATGTTGTCATCTAGAATCTCTGCAGCACCAGAGATAAAAGAACGGCGACGAACCAGAGACGACTGAATTCTGACAGACCAGAACGCCGGCAATTGGGTAACCCAGGTAAGATTCAAACAAATCAGGTTGCAGCAAGATGGAATTCACTCTTGATCAAATTGCCTTTTGAATAAGAGGCAAAAAATTATTATTTTGAATCATTCATCGATATTTTAAAAGGCAAAATATGACATCGCCTAGATGAAAAAGAGGTTATTTACAAGGTTAAAGTGACATTGCCTAGGCGTGGAATGCCACTTAATTTTTAGTGCATCTACAAAGTGAAAAAGAGGGAAAACTAAGCTAATTTGGATCTAAATGTACTTGGATGACTGAAAATATAGTTAGTAAAGAGAAAATTCTCATTTTTATTAGTTGTGTTGCAAATTATAGAAAAAATGTAATCAAAATCAAAATATAACTACAAATAAATGATGTGGGTACAGCGGGCAGGCATGCATAATACCATATCCTCCCTGTTACATAATAAAAATAAAACGGTTCATCCCCGCCCGTGCCTATTACCCGATCAATGTGGTTTTTTCCGTTTTATGAGGAACGATTGAGTGCGAATATCCATCATATAGGTCACAATGATCATCCTTAAATACATCTGATAACATTTTTTAATAGAAGAACTATTCTCTTTGTCCTATTTTATAATTAGGCATACTTTTGTTTTCGTTTATTTATAGGGAGAACTAACAAATAAGCTCTCGAACTTTCATAAAAGGTGCAAATAAGCCCTTTTATAGGAGGCTCTGTCCGGCTATCGCCATTTGGGGCGGTTTCCGATGGAATATTTTGTTGAATTTTTTTTATCACCTTCTTCATTAAGTCTAGTTTACTCATACCAAATTTAAGCAAAAAAATCAATCGGGAAGACAGTCAAATGAAATTTTGAAGATAACTGCGCAGTTAGACAACGAAGTATATTTCAGAAAATCATTTGACTGCCTTCTCGATTGAATTTTTAGCTGAAATTTGGTATGGGTAAACTAAACTTAATCAAGTAGATGCTCAAAAAATTTCATCAAAAAATTCCACTGGGAACCGCCTCAAATGGCGACAGCCGGACAAATCTTCCTCTAAAAGGGCTTATTTGCACTAATTGTCATATACAAGCGACGACTGCTCCTGTGTTGTTCCCAACGATGGTGGAAGGAAGATGTATAATAAGATTGTAGTTTCGAAATTTTACAATAGAATTTTGTTCAAAAAGAAAAAAATGAATTTAAAGTACGTTTGGTAACACTGGAATTGGCAGAATCGGTTGATTCCGCTAAAATTTATAAAGTTGTGGATGAAGTGGCTGGATTGACTGATTTTGCTGATTTATGAAAAATATATATTTGAACTACTTTTGTTAATAAAATAAAGAAAAAAATATGAAAAAATATCCTAAAATGACCATATACAGTAACTTCAAGTCTTCACCTACTACAGCTAGAAAAGCAACTCTAACCTTGGTTTTTCTAATTATTACACAATTCAACGCATGAATAAAAAGTTACGTGTTTCATGAAAATGTTGGTTAATAAGTCTCATAAATATAAAAAACAAAGCTACCAAATGGGCTTTTAAATGTGAGACATCTTAAAGGGAAACTAAACTCATTTGCGTTTTACTACCCGTAATATAATTAAGTTTCTCTTAATTCCTTGTATAGAAGGTCCATGTTGTGGCAGATTAGTCCGATAGCAGCAGACTGAATGATACTATGTAGTACTACCTCCGTCCCGAACTCCCGATGGACTTTGCCAAGTTTAGAGTAGGTGAGAAATAACAATAGTAAAAAGTCGGTGCTTGAGATTTGTTCAGAGAAGAGAAAAATGTGCAGAACCACAAATCAATTGCTTTAAAAGAAAAATGACAAAGTTTTTTGGAATAACCAAAAAGGGAAATTTGACAAAGTCCAATGATACGGAGGAAATACGTATTAGTAAACTATGTGCCTAAATAACAGTCCTGTTAAACTTGCAAAAAAGTCCCTTTTATCAAACGGGACATAATTACATCCTTAAAGAGAATGAGGGTGAATATTAATTTGCTTCAAGTTTTATAACTCTCGTGCAAAATGAAATGGAAACACACATGAAATGGACAGAACAAATATCTGCAACTAAAAAAGTCGGCCCCGTTTCTTCGACATTAATTGGGAAAGAGCGATTCATGGGAGGCCAAATGCCACTTAAATAAATACGTCCAGGGGCGTAGGTAGGGAGGGGCTCACCCTGGCTTAGCCCAGTCTATATTTAAAAAATGTCTATATTTTTAGTATAAAAATATTCTGTGTAATTTTTTTCAAAAATATTCCTTGTACCGGTCTAGTACAGCCCAATACCCTGACTCCGCCCCGAATACGTTGCTTAATCAATATATGCATCATTTTGCATACTACTATGGAGTAGTATATATTCCTTAGCTTATTCACAAACGATGTTCAAGAAAAATTAAAGATATACTTCATATATATACATTGGTTGATTATGGATACAGAAAAGGTGGGGAATGGCATGAGAGTGATGATGTTCCCATGGTTGGCTGTAGGACACATTACGCCATCCTTGGAGCTCGCCAAGAAATTATCCGACAGAGGCTTTTTTGTCCTCCTATGTTCCACCCCAATCAACCTTAGTTTCATCAAAAACAAGATTCCCGAGAAATACTCTTCTTCAGTCCAGTTAGTGGACCTTCACTTGCCGGAATTACCAGATCTCCCTCCTCACTATCACACCACCAATGGCCTCCCACTCCATCTCAACTCCACCCTCCATAAAGCCGTTGAAATGGCCGAGCCCGCTTTCTCCGACATCGTGGGAACCATGAAACCACACTTGCTGATCTATGATTTCATGCAGCCATGGGCAGCAGCCATAGCCAAGTCACATAATGTCCCGGCCATCCGATTCATCACTTCGGGTTCGGCCACGTTTTCCTATGCTTTCCACGCATTTTTCAGGCAGACCGCCGAGTTTCCTTTCCCGGAAATCACTCCAAGCACCTACGACCAAGAAAGGTTAGAGAAGCTTTTTGCTGAAATAAAAAGTAGCATAAATGGCAGCGAGGATAAGAACATGATTGTGATGGGTACCTCAAGAGAAATAGAGGGGAATAAGTATTTGGATTACATGAGTGAATTAACCGGTTGCAAGATTTTAACAGTCGGTACCCTAGTTCAGAAGCATCATCAAGATGAAGGGCGTTTTGGGCCGTTGATGGAATGGTTAGGAAGGAAAGAGGAGAAATCGACGGTGTTTGTTTCCTTTGGGAGTGAGTATTTTCTGTCACATCATGAAATGCAAGAGGTAGCCATTGGGTTAGAGAAAAGTAGGGTGAACTTCATTTGGGTAGTAAGGTTTCCTCAAAATGCAAGTGAAATGACCACAAAAACCCCTATGAATCTTCTTGAAGCAGCACTGCCGGAGGGCTTTCTTGAGAGGGTTGGAGATAGAGGGAGAGTGGTGGAAAGATGGGCACCACAAATAAGAATTTTGTCACACCCCAGCATTGGAGGGTTCATGAGCCATTGTGGGTGGAACTCTGTAATGGAGAGTATTGAATGTGGTGTTCCAATCATAGCCATGCCCATGCATCTTGACCAACCTGTAAATGCTAAATTGATTGTGAATATTGGTGTTGGGGTTGAGGTTGTGAAGGACGATACTGGAAAGTATCATAGCGAAGAAGTGGCTCGAGCTTGTGATGAAGCTGTTCTCGGAAGAGGTTCAGAAAATTTGCGGAGGAATGTGAAATTGATGGGTGACAATGCAAGGGTTAAAAGCGCAAAAGAGATTGATGAAGTTTCTATATTGCTCACACAACTTTTTTGTCCATAATAATACAAACTATCGATCATTATGCCAATAAAACTATAATGTTTTATTATCTATTTAATTTTTTTCTTTGATTTTGAATATCAAACTTGTATTATATCTATATATGTTCGATTGTTTGTGATTAATAAATAAAATGTCGAAATCTAATTTTAAAATCTTGGGCATGCCATCACAAGTTTGATATGATTATGTATGATTCTTAATTTCCTAGCTAGCACCGCTGGATAAGCTCCTCGATCGCTATCTGGAGGGCGTGACAATGCTTCGTCGCATGCCCCTTCTGCTTGTGGTACTGGCAGAAAGCATTATTGTTACCCATGTAGGCATCATGGTCTGGAATTGGAGTGATAGATGGAGGCAATAATAGAGAGGACGAGCGGGGTGAACCACTTCAGATTGGGAATCGGCGCAACTGTTGGAATTGGCCCGAGCCGATCAGCCAATTTTAAAGGTGCAATCGATGGGATCTTATCCCTAATGATGATCTCTTCGATGGCCGCATATCTTCGGGCCCTGTCTAATACTTCGGCATATATAACTGGTGCCTGGATCCTTCTTCAAATCTCGATATAAATACATTTTTGAGTACATTTTTTCACTTGTCTAACACTTGGATAAGTACATTTTTTTAAAAACTCCAACTTCAAGAGCTATTTTTGAGCCCATTTCAACTTTTGAGCTCAAATCTTCAACACCAAAGGTCAACCTTACAATCAAAGCTTCCAAGAGTCAACCTTGAGATTAAAAAAAAAATAATTAATTAATTAATTAGTTAATTAAAAAAAAATCTCAAGGTTAAGACTATTTTTTCTCAAGGTCCAAACCACATTTCAAGGTCCAGAAAATTGCAGAAACTTCATTCAACCTCACGTCTACGGTCAATATTCAACAATCAACATCAATGGACGTTATATCTCCTTGTTCATGTATTTGTCAAACTCATTCTTCAAAAGATAAGGACAAAATTATCAAGGAATTGGAAGAGAGATTAGCAAATAATCACAAAGTCCCACTGAAGCAGCTGGATAAGTCCACCTCATTGTGTATACAATTGGACAATTCCAAAGAAGAGGTTAATAAAATAACTTTGGAAACAGAGAAGCTTACTCTGAAAATAGCTGATCTAACAAAGGAGTTGAATCAGACCCAGATAGAGCTAAGCACAAAAAAAGCTGATAACGATTTTCTTCAAAATAAAAGAAGTGCCCTTTACCGCAATATCAAAGATCTTGAAGACATACTTGCTACAAAGGGGCAGACTGAACAAACAATCTTCTTGAACCAACCCAAAGACATCCCTTTCTATAATTCTAAAGAAGGACTCGGTCTGTCTAACCCATGTAATTTGAAGAAGGTGAACTGTGCTCAACTGTATGACATCAATTATATGGGTCTTGGACTGACTAAGTTGATATCTTTCCTCAGTGTTAAAGAAACGAATGATGAAGAAGATGCCAAGAGAGCTAATCTCGGAACAGAAATTTCTTTTGATTATGCTGCCTTGAACGAGAGCTATGAAACAAAAGAACTCCCGTTGACTCCTCCTGAAGAGATTCCAACCTTTTACCCTCACTAGTACAAAAAAGGCTTTTACATCGCCGTATCTACATGTGTTATCATATGTCCCATGTGAAATATTGGCACGGGGTAAATTTTACAATTTTTATAAAATTATTCACATCGGTTGTTGTTATACCCGATGTTAAATAGCGAAACGTGTACATTTTATAATTTTGTAAATGTATATTACATCGGTCCGATGTACAACCGATTTTAAAAGTAAAACGGGGTCGATTTTATAATTTATGAAAGTAGTTTTAACATCGGTTGAAACCGATTTTAAAAAGTAGCGCAAAAAGAAAATTTACCTTAGTACAGATCGGTTTTAACCTTATGATGTGCACAGTTTTCTTTGAGAACATTTCAGACCTAGGCAGAGCAAACCTACGCATCCTTCAGCAGAGCAGCGACCTGACCACGGACGGCCAACGACCAGCGACCAGCGATGGATCCGGCGACCACAGACCGACCCAGCGACCCCACACGCACCCGGCGAGTCGGCGATGATAGATGGGCCCATCGTCCGCTGACAGACCCGGCAACCAACGACCATTGATGGCTCCGGTGCCCAGTGCATGCCGGACATCGTCAGTGGATTCGTCCAGCGGTCCAGTAGCGTCTCCCTGGATTTCTGGCCGTCCAGCAGCTTGAGCTAGTCACCAAGCATCCCGTAATTTCACTGTGGCGTGCAATCATAAAATTGTCCGTTTGCTAAATAGAGAACTGGAAATTGCATGTTCGCTGGTTTGTTCTTCTTGTTAACATCTCTTTCTTCTTCAATTATGCATTTCCTCAAGCCATTTATTAGTAACTAGGTTTTCAATTTTTCAAATTTGTGTTGTGATTGTTCAAATAGTACTCAATGTCTTTAGTGTTTCATCAGGTTCTGAAGGCCACTGTTACTTGCTTGAACGTTGGTGTAGGGCGTATGATAACCAGTAAGGTCACTTTTTTATAATTATATACTTCAATATATGTTCTTAATTTACAAAAAAAAACTATTTTTTGGTGCGTGACTGTGTAGTGATAAGGTTGCTGCTTCCGACCTTCGGCGCTAAGGTTGCTGCTTCCGACCTTCGGCGCTAAGGTTGCTGCTGCAACCATCAGTGTTTGACCAATTGCAGCGTCAGGCCTTCTGCATTCGAGTCCAGTGCAGCTTTCGGCCTTCGGCAGAGCACTTGGATGGTGGAGGCGGCTGGTGGCATTGGTGGAGCCATCGAGTGGCTTAGGTGGAGCCATCGAGTGGCTTCGGTGGAGCCGTCTTGAGCAGCGATTTGAGCCTGGTAGTCATCGACAAAGAATCGCCAAGGTATTATTTTGCAAGGTATTACTCTAAAATAACTTTTCCCTTTCACTCAATCTCAAATATAGACCATAAATTTTGCGATGGAAGGTTTGTACGCGTATACGATTGACTGCTATACGATATATGTACATTATTATCCTATTTGTACGTTTCTTGTTAAAACTCAGTTTTTGGAGTACTGCCATACGATTTTAAGCTTATTCGCCATACGATTCTGATATATGTTTGACTGCCAATGGTGTAATTCCTCTTTATAAACTGATATTGTAAAGTGCTTGTGCCCGAATTGTGTACTTGGAGATATTTATTTGTGTAATTAGTTTTGAACTGATAGATCATTTTGAAATAAAAAGATTTCTTTAGTAGCTTAGTTGGTGAGGGTGAGTATTCAAAGCTTAGTTAATTATTACAGAATACATATTTGAATCCTCAATTTGTGAAATATACCATGTCTAAATTGGATTCAGTATTTTCTGAACAAACATACTTTTGTTTTATATATGAAGTAATCTACATTGACTTAAGTTAAAGATGTTCACTACCATTGTTGATGTTGTAGTGTCTCTTTTCTGTAACTTTGTTTTTTTATACTTTTATAGTATAACTTCTACTCTATTTTAGCTTCTGTATTTCTAGGTTTCTGTTAAATTCCTTGGAATGGATCAAGATTGTTTTTTCATCAAATTACTAGATAGGTGACTTGTGGAGGAGTTTCATCATTCAAATGCAATGTTGTTTTCTGAATTGCCAATCATTCTGTCTTTACTTAGTCATAAAGGTTGGTATGACTTTGTAAATGTAAGATGAAGTGTATTAATCATTTCAGGTATGCTGGAGGAAGATAGGAACAAATATTTGTCTTCCAGTATATAATATTACGTAATATTCTTTGGACTTCTTTTAGAGATAAATTTACATTATAGTCCTAATGCAAGGGAAGAGAGGTGCAGTCGGTTCGTTACCTGAAACCATGGACTTTGCTCATGGTCCTTCATCGGGCAGCGATGCTTTAGGTCAGCCAGTGTGCTGGAATAATCTGAGAAGTTCTGCACAAAATCGGTTACTAGATTACGTTGTATCTCCTGATAACACATACAGTGCTTCTGCTACTAATCAAGAGAGGCCGAACTTGATTAACTGGAGTTTAGGAGAAAGCAGCTCAACTCTAGTTCAAAGTCAACTCCGTGAAAATGAGCCAAAAATGGCAGGAGGACATGGTTGGTCATCGTCTTCCATAACTACTTCAACAAATGCTCTTTTGATGAATAACGTTGAAGTAAATTCTGAAGTGGATGACACTAACGCCTGAGTTATTAAAGCTTAAAACTTGTAAACAGGTTGCTTAGTTGCATTTACACGTCTGAGTTATCATTGTTAATAATGTTTTGTAAATAAACAAAACCCTGGAATTGAGCTTACTCCACTTTTGGTGACATTCTATGATTCAATCTATCTTGTTTGTTGATTAGGCATTTGTGTGTGACCGAACTTTTGGGTACCTACAAATAGATAAAATATTTCTGATCTGTCCAGGTTATAGCAAACAAAGCAGGTGAAATTCTTGGTCATAAATTAGGTGCAACAGCTGTACACCCAAATGACCATGTGAATAGATCACAATCTCCCGACGACTCATTTTCTAATGTAAGCATCATGTTGCAAGACTCAGTTACATGTAGTCTTCTGTTAAAGTTATCCTGAGTTGTAGTGTCACTAACTTCTATGTGATTGACATGCAGGTGATGCATATCGCAGCAGCAGTGGAGATTAATAAGAGATTATTGCCAAGCCTGAAACAACTGCATACATCACTACATTCAAAGGTGAAATACTTGTTTTTTCATGCAAACAATTTCTTCATGTGGTAACTTTATTAACCTCCCCCCGTATTCAACTAGTCTGTTGAATTCAATGACATCATCAAGATTGGGCGTACACACACTCAAGATGCAACACCTCTTACACTTGGACAAGAGTTTAGTGGATATGTCACTCAAGTAAGCTTTCTCAGCTTTCAACTTTTTCAAATGTTAAGTTGTAAAGTTTTAGTTCTCACGGTTTTGTATCTAATGGTTCTTGTAAATATTTTTTAATGATAGATGAAGTATGGAATAAATAGATTTTTTGGCACCCTTCCACACATGTATCAGGTTCTCGTTATCTTTTTCCATCACAACTTTTATTCCATCTTTCTTCCATACTTAATAGTTCCATGTGATTTTAACTAGTTTGATTTTGAATATCATTTGAGCAGCTTGCACAAGGAGGAACTGCAGTTGGAACTGGATTGAACACAAAAAAGGGTATGCACCTTTACTAAGTTTGAAGTTGGTTGATATTTTTAGTCTATACTATCTCTTCTTCATTTGATATTTGACGAACATGTTTTCACTGATTTAGTTTGCTTCAGTGAGCTATTGTAAATAACAAACTATCTCTTCATCCATCGTGGTTCTTTGAAATGTTAATATTAGAAATTTAGATTTACTCGGAATCACACTTTGAATTTAGGGTGTGATACACAATTTTGTTTGCTTTTATCATGTTTCATGTGAAAATTGCTGCAGCATTGGCAGAGGAAACAAGTCTGCCATTTGTTACAGCCAAAAATAATTTTGAAGCATTGGTAATGACCTTTCAATTTTATATATGCTTCTGCGTTAAATGCTAATTTGTAAACCTATTTTTATAATTATTTACCTTTTTATACTTATGTTGCAGAATGTACTTAATTTATTTTGTTACTGACAGGCTGCACATGATGCATTTGTTGAAAGCAGTGGTGCCTTAAATACAATTGTTGTTTCCCTCATGAAGATCGCAAATGATATACGTTTTCTAGGAAGGTATAACTCTTATTTGAGATTGCAATTTTTTTTCAGAGTTGCATTTTATGGTGACTTCACGTCTTACTTGATTTGCTATGGTCCACATTGTGGTCTCGGTGAACTCATTCTTCTCGAGAATGAACCCGAAAGCAGCATCATGCACGTAATTATCATCCTTAAATACAATAATTGAAAAATTCATTATCTTAATTCTTATCTTACGTGAGTTGAATACATTTTAGGGATTGATGAAGTGATTGATGAAGAGATTGATGAAGTACGAATTCGTTGGGATCATATTTCTTAGAAATGACGCAATCCATCAACAACACATGAAGAACGTATTTGTTTAAGTTTTTGAGTGATGATGAGACATGTAACTTTAAACAATGTGTTATTACTCTAGAGTCTAGACTTGTGCAAGGATTGTTTTATTTTAGCTTATTATTATGTACTAAGTTGTTACTTGAACTTGTTTAACATTTGTGGAAGAATTGAAAAATAGCTTATGTTATTTTTTTAGATGGATCAAGTGAACAGGTGAAAATTGTGCTATAGTAGTTGATTATACTGTTAATGATGTGATTATAGTATAAATGGGGGTAATATTGCAAATTTTTTCCTGAAAAATACCGAAAAAATTGAAGCTTTTCACATCTGTTGTAAAATAACCGATGTGATTGCTTTTCTACATGTGCTATAACTGATGTGAAACACATATGTTCCGGAAAAAATGAAGTTTTTCACATCGGTTGATAAAATGACCGATGTGAAATCTTTTCTACATGGGTTATAACCGATGTGAAAAACCTATGCTCCGGGGAAAATTGAAGCTTTTCTACATGAGTTGTGAAATAACCGATGTGGTTTCTTTTCTACATGGGTTATAACCGATGTGAAATATCATTAAAAACGCCGTTTCAGACTATCTTCTAGATCAGACACTAAACGACCGATGTAGAAAAAATTTCCACATTGGCTGTTTGACCGATGTGAAAAGTCAATACTTTTCACATGTGCTGGAACCACATCGGCTGTATGACCGATGTGAAAAGCCTTTTTTGACCGATGTGAAAAGCCTTTTTTACACTAGTGCCTGCAAAAGAGACTGTGCAAGATCAAGAGGAACCTTCAACTTCAGAGTCTGTAGCCAAACCAGCATACATTCCACCCCTTGTGAGATAGTTTGCTGAATTTAAAGAAGCTTTTGATAAAGAAAAACAAGCTTTTGAACTGGAAAGAGAACAGCTCTTGAATGAAATATCTTTGCTCAAAACATCCTCTCAATCAAGCACAGGCTCACAATCTCCTTCTCCTCCATCATCTGAAAACTGTGCTTATCCTTCTCCTCTGTCTTCTGAGAACTATTCTTAAAAATCTACAAATGATCCTGAAACTTCCACTTCTCACTCCGAGTCACCTTCACCGACAAGGGCCCCTGTGAAGAGGAGAGTGGAAAGGAAAGGAAAATGGATAGAGGACAAGTTAAGAAGAAGAAAGAAGGAAGAAGAATCACGTCTAAGGAGTAGGAACTGGTGTTCAAGTGCTCTCTTCTATGCCAAAAAGAAGACATTTCTTAAGAATAACTGCTCAAGCTCTTCTACTATGAACTGTGTTAAACCAGTAAAAACTTTCTGCTCTGAATCTGATGTCTCCTCCAACCAAGATAAGAAGAGGAATGCTCAGAAATGTCCGAAGAAATCAGCTTCCGCTAAAGTAAATGTTGAGGGGGAGTATCAATTACCATGTTTAAAGTATCCCTCAAAGTTTATTCACTCAGGCATTTGAGAAGACTCTCTCAAGAAACAATCTTAAAAGACTATCTGTCTGAACATTCACTCACTGCTAGTGAAACCTCTCGTGCTCCAAAGATCAAATTACAATGGGTTCCTAAGGCTGAAGCTGAGAAATTAAGAATGTTAGACTCTTCCCAATCAGCTAGCCTAGGATCACAAATCAAATAGAAACTGAAACGGTTTTTCAGTGGTGACATGGAAGGACCCATCTGGAGCTGGGTACCGACACATACTTAATATGTGTTGAAGGCCCGTCATGTGTGGTAACTGACCCGATTGCTCCACACACATAGCGGGTATGAAGACGAGATGCGAGCAATCAACTGGTGCACATTATGAGGGAGAGTACTGGCGTGTATACTCTCTACTGAGCAGAAAATCAAGAAATGCACACTTCAACACCGGCACACGCCAAGAACAAACAACATGTGCTTATTCATTGGGGGAGTGTTTCTTTTTCACTCCTCCTGGAGCCAAACAACGAAGAAAGCACATTCCAAGGGGGAGTTTTCTACTTTACTCCCCGGGTAGAAACAACACAACTTACAACTTTTGAGGATGAGTTTCATTTTTCTTCTCCTGGTGCTAGACAATGTAAAATGCAAGGATTCTCTCAAGGATGCGGATTTAAAGGGGGACTTTTCAAAGTTCTCCTCCCAAGTGCCAATCATCATGAAAGGCATCCTACTGAATGCTCCTGTTGAGCGGGAGCACGGAGAGAAAAGAGCAAAGAGAAATGAGAGATAAGTCCCAATGGCTTAGTAAACCCAACTAGCCTACCCAAGGGACAATGCCGAGAGTGAGTGAGTAGATGAGTGATCATTATGAGAGTGAGGAAGCAGAAAGCTCAAGTGAGCAAGAGAACAATAATCACTCTCAAATCTGCTACCTCTATTGTGCTATCAATTGAGAAAATTACTCTCAGTCACTCAAATACTCTGGACAATCCCCATAGGTTTAGGACTGAATTTATTCAGATCTCGGGTAGAAGTCGCTGCATTTTGTCCAAACGGCGCACACACAACCCTACCAAAGACCACTCACCTGTCTCCCAACAAACATGTGTTTAATCATATTTCACGGGGAACCTCATCTCTAATCACCATCTCCTTCTGAGGCGACTGATACTGACTACAGTGGCCCACAGCCCCACGCCACTGAACATTCATTGATCACGTCGTGTCTAGTAATCTCACTCCCATATGTTTTGAATTTTCTAGGACACAGACACTTTTTAGAGTCAGTTGCAGGTCTTCATGACCTGATACGTTTGTAATTTCCATATGCATGTTTGTGTTTTTAATTAGTTTTGCTTGATCTTTACTATGGAAATTACACACTTTTGGTGTAATAGATTAGTTTGTTAAATTCTTGTAAATAGTTTAGATTAGATATATTCTGAGCTCAATCAGGTCTTGATCACTCAAAGTACAGTTGGTGAACCCAAAGAGTGGAAAGAAGGTGCAAAATTTGAAGACAAAAGAAGGATCCTGAATTTTGGTCTATACTCGGTCGAGTATCACCTATACTCGATCGGGTATTAGGTTGAAACTTCAAATCGGATCAGATCCGAAGACAAGGGAACATGCCAGGAGGATTTCAGCCACGATTTAATGTCTATACCCGATCGGGTAGACCGACATACTTGATCGGGTATGCCTTTGAGTTTTAAACGAAGATCGGTCGAGTATGGCTCGAATACCATTTTCTAAGCATACTCGACCGGGTATAAACATATACCCGATCGGGTACACTTGTGGAAAATAGCCTAAAACCGATCGAGTATACCTCGAATCGAGTATTACACACATACTCGATCAGGTATCATGTATATACCCGATTGAGTACCTGAATCCCATCCCAAAAGCCTATAAATACACCTCCTTTCCTTCACAAAAAGATATCCAATTCCTTTGTACATCTAAGCTCAGTATAGAATAGTTCTTTCTTTATATTTTTCATCATGTTTAGTCTTCAAATGAGGAGCTAAACTCTTCCATCTTAGTTTTGCTACTTTGAAGCTTAATGAATTTGTAAGTTGTGAGTTATTTTCTTTAATCTTCTTCCTTGAATATTAATTCTTCCTTTAAAATACTATTTCTATATCAAAGTTGGGGAGTGTTACTAAGATGACAATTAGTTAACATCTTGACATTGGTTATAGTAATAGCTATTTCTTCCTCTATGTTAATATTGGGGAGTGTTACTAAGATGACAATTAGTCAACATCTTGATATTAATCATAGTAGGATTCATATTCTTTAATATTCTTCCTTGAGTATTAATTAATTCCTATTCATATTTCATGTTAATATCTTAAACATTACTTAAAGTATCAACTAGTATTGTTTCTCATATTAATTATTACTAGAATCAATCGGTTAATACGCTTGTTATTAATCCGGTTCTTTCAACGGTAGTAAACTTGGAATATTAATGCATGCATCTCATGGTTAATATGCCAAGGGGAATTAATTATATTGATTAAACCAATAAACCGCTTGTGTTGAGGTTATCAATCTCAATCGTTTTCATCTTAAGTTTATTGCTACTATCAAGTTCATATACGGCGCTTGTTCTATATTGACTCGATAGTAAGTTTTATTAATGAACGCATCTCGTTATTAATAACTACACTTGATGAACTGGATATACTGATGCACACTAATTAGTAGTGCATAATTACATGTTTTTATGTTTGATTTATGTTAATTGTTTGACATTTTATTTAGTTTGTAAACATTTATGTGATTTCAGTTGTAATTGTATTTTAGTCTTTATTTATAAGTTGTAAAGTATAGATAGGATTTGTGGTGTTGGAAAGGAAGACTTTGAAGAGAAGAAAACAAGAAATTTGACTGCCCAGAAGTAAAACCCGACCGGGTAGAAACCCCCACCCGGTCGGGTATGATTTAACAGACGAAATTGCCAAGAAAGTCACTGGACCCGGTCGGGTCCCCTACTTGACCCGGTCGGGTCAGATGTGACCCGGGACAAAACGACGTGCGAAGATCACCAGAACGTGGCAGATTATCTGATTTTGACCGGACCCGGTCGGGTAAGTACTATACCCGGTCGGGTACCCGGCCCAAGGTGTTGAAAAACACCTATAAATAGCACACTTTTTCTTCTCTAAAAATCATCCCTTCTTCCATACTCTTTAGCTCAGTTTAGAATAGCATTTCTTTATATTTTTCTAGCTATGTTTAGTCTCCAAATGAGGAGCTAAACTTCCATTCTTGGTGTTGCTCTTGAAGCTTGTTGATTATTAAAGTTGTGAGTTATTTTCTTAACTTCTTTCCTTGAATATTAATTAATAGTTCTTTCCTTAATACCATCTCTATATTAATGTTGGGGAGTGTTGCTAAGATGACAATTAGTTAACATCTCGACATTAGTTAGAATGGTATTTTCTTCCTCTATATTAATATTGGGGAGTGTTGCTAAGATGACAATTAGTTAACATCTTGATAGTAATTATAGTAGGATTCATCTTCTTTAATAATATTCTTCCTTGAATATTAATTAATCCCTACTCATATTTCATATTAATATTTTGAACATTACTTAAAGGATCAACTAGTTTTGTTTCATATATTAATTATTACTAGAAACGATCAACGAACCGATGGTTAATCGTTGATAGTTTCACAAGTAAGTAACTTCGGTTTATTAATGCACGGTCGTGGTTAATAAACTTAAGAGAGATTAATTTTGTTGGTTAAACCGAAACCGTTGTGTTGAGGTTATCAATCTCAATTGATTTCATCAAGGAGTTAGAAAGATTAAATGCTA